GTATTTTTTTAGGTTCGGTACATACATCTTCGAATAAAGCCAGTGTTCCTCTTTCTGGAGAAAAATCATCAACCTTTGGCATTTTATCAGGCTTCATTGCTCGAAATGTAATATCTTCACGATATGGGTTTGGACTATTTGCAATTATTTGATAACAATTTCGAAGGTATTTATATTTTGGCTCTTTAAGATGATGTCCGATTAAAACTAAATCATCATTTTTAATATACCTCGTTCCACCTTTTTTTCTGCTAAACATTCAATACGGTTTATTTCCAAGCAAAATATTAACAATCATATAAGTTTTTCCTGATCTGGTTCGTCCAGATACTAGCATATTGAAAGGCCATTGGGGGGTTGAATTTAATCCATTAAATCTTTCTGGATTTTTGTATTCATCGATATCAACTAGAAATAATTCGCATCGATCAAGTTTTTCAGTTTTTTTGGGCTTTTGATGCTGAGCTTTCTTCATCTCGTTTAGTAAAATTGTGAATAATCTTTATATATATATACCAGAAAAATTATTCTTTACAAGCTAAATATCCCTTTTCTTCCAATATATTTTTAATATAGGGAAATGGATCAGCCGTGTAGGGAATCTCAATAAGATCTATACCTTCTCTTTTACATAATTCTCTCTTTTTTCGATCACGTAGTTTTTGAGCTTGTAAATCGCTTTTCTGTTTATGAAACATTGTATTCTCGACATAATGATGGACTCCTTGGAATTTGAACGCCAATTTAAATTCTTCATTATATCCATCTAAGCGTAAACCATCTAGAAATTTTGGTGCACACGGTGTAAATTTTTTATCTAATAAATCCTCAAAAATATATCGACATCTACGTTCTTCTTTGAAATGAGGACAAATAGGACACCATTCAAATTTCTTAGCAATTAATGGATATGGATATTCGAATTGATGAAGCCCACAAGACCAGAGAAATACTTCCTCATCATTAATTCGACCGGTTTTTTCAAGACAACTTCCACCATGTTTCTTAGCATAGGTACAAGCTTGATCTAGATCATTATTTAAAACCAGAATAAAATGAACTAATCGGGGATGATTCTTTTCCGATAATATACTTTGGGGTGGGTATTGAAGCTTTTCTAAATCTACTTGGAAAAGTTCCTCTTTCACAAATCCACGCTTTGGTGAAAATTCATTGCCTTCAAGATAGTATAATACAGGTTCATTTTCCGTTACTATAATTTTTCAGATTTTATGAATAGATGGTGAAAATGTTGGATCCGTGGCTCTTTTCTGATTCTCCATACCTCCTTCCCATTCTCCATTGGCAAGTAAGTAACGAACTGTATCGCCCTTTTCTAACTTTTTTTCATCTCTTCCAACCAGACGTTTATATTTCGTAGATGGTCTAGATTCAACCTTTTCTAACTTAATTGCTTTTATAGGCGCTAATCCCCATTTCTTCGACCCAGGAGCTTTAATAAGTCGAGTTGGATAATTATTTAGGTAATTGATAACTTCCGGTAAATACTTAACCCACTCTCTTATTAATTTAGGATTTGAGGATATAGTTTCAACGGCATATTGTACTTTATAAAGCATTTTTGCAAGAGTTTTATTAAATCTTTCCACGACTGCGAGTCTTCGATGGGAATATAGACCAATTACTCGGATTATAACATTATGTTCTTGCATTAATCTTGAAGTTTCGCCCATAAATTCGCACCCTCCATCACATTGTAGTAACCAAGGCCAAATAAGAGGATTATCCGGATTATTATAAATTTTCTTAAAGGCTTTGGCAACTTCTGAACTATTTTTGGAAGTGAGTGGAATGGCGTATTTAAATCTACTGGTGATATCTACAATAGTAAGTACCCATTTATATATTTTTCTATCTATATCATTGGTAAGACGTAAGAGGTCACACTGATGTACGTAATTTGGGTAAGTAATTTTACCATAACTAACTCGCGGAATATATTTTGGTGATGGTGCATGTTTCTGCCATTCATTTTGGTTTATAAGCCAATTATGCACTTTTTTATATGAAAATCGGTATCCTTCTTTCTTGAGATCTCTATATAGTAATCGAGAATTGGAATGATAACCGGTTGTTTGATAATAAAGTAATCTACAGACAAGATCTAACTCCTCGTCTGGATCGACTCTAATAATAGGTTTTTTCATTTTTCGGTTAAGTTAGCATAAAAAAAATAACGCATTTTACAATGTAACTATATTTTAAGGATAAAAAAATGGATTATAAATTTGATCCAGCATATTTACAACTCCTTCATTCCAATCAAGAGTTACGAAAAGAACTATCTAATGAGGTGGCAAATAATAATACAAATGAAAAAAAAATCTGACTTCTTATAAAAGATCTAGAAAAATGTAATAGGACCATTTCTCATCAAGAATTCACTATTATAACTTGTGAATCAGAGATAGAGGAGCTTAAATTCCGGATTTCTAATATCAGAAAGCATCTCCAGAAGGTATTGAGGGATATAAGTTATAAGGAAGAATCTTTGATTATTTTAGAAAACAGAATATCGGATCTTCAAGAAGAAATAAATACTCTCAAAAATAGGATTCGAGATTTAACATCTAGAAAAATTAAAAAGTTAAACATAGCTCAGATGTCTAATATAGATGAGGTCCAGAGCATTGGTGAATCTATTCAAAATACATTCAATAATATTAGTTACGTATTACGAAAAATACCAGGGCTTCCAAAAAATCTTGA